AACATAATTGAACCAGCCCCTGGGGGATGGGCAGTGGAAGCTCTTTTTGTATGCGTTACATCGCCTTTTTGACTTGCTCCACTTACGACCGTTGCAACATCCCCACGGTTCACGGGATCAAAATTCGGGTGACTGCCAACTGACTCGTATTTATGACAGGCGCAGAGTCCCGGAGGGTGTGTGTGTGTGTGTGTGTCGTGTTATCCCCTTTATTGACCTTCTGACCCAACAAAGACAATGGGGAAGCCAGATTCACTTAATGACCGTATTACTACGTGATTCTGCAGTGATTCCCTTAACAACTGGGGCAAGAAAGTTTGTCAAATGGGGCACTTGGGAATAATAATGATTATTTTGATAATGATGATAATAATAATGATAATTTTGGGTTGTGTTGCAGTCATAAGTCGAGGACCACCAATAGGCCTGGAAAGCAGCTGTCAAAGACATTTTTGTTTCTAGTTAATAACCTTTTTAATCAGTTATATTTTCCAGTCAATGACATTTTTCTAATCAATGCCATTTTCTAGTCAATGCCATTTTTAATCAATTACATTTTCTAGTCAATACCATTTTTAATCAATTACATTTTCTAGTCAATACCATTTTTCTAATGTTGAAAGCCTGGAAAATGCCTTTCTTCGGAGGGCTCGATTTTCCTCCGGTGCAAGGACAGAGACAACTGCTTGGAAGCTGGTTCTTTTTATTCTTCAGGAAGGCAAGAGATAGCAAGAAGTCTGCGTTCCTGGGGCTAGCCATCTTTGTATAATAAACCCCTGATTTTTATACCTTTTCTCCTTTTGTGTGCGTGTGCTTGTGTTTGTATTTCTTAATGTTTTAAATCCTGTCGGGGGTTGTCTTCATTTCCGCCGGAGGGTAAACTCCACAGGGTGGTTTGATTGGATTATCAGTTTCATCCTAATGTTTTCTTATATTTGTTTTGTGGCAATCTCCTGTCTTCTATGGAATTTATTTCGTGTCTTTTGTCTATTTGTTTTGCTGATTTGGCATGACCTATTGTTTGTAAGGGATTTCTTTTTCTTGTTTCCCCAGCTTTCTTAATTACTTGGCTTTTGTCTAGGGGGCTTCTTTCAATACCTTTCATTAAATCTCTTTTCCTATGCAAGTTTGTTTTATGGCTGGCCTGATGTTCCCTTTGGGCTTTTCCTGCTTGGGTGTCACCACTGTCCTCATGAAGTTCCCTTTCCACACTAATCAATGATATTTTCTAGCCAATGCCATTTTTCTAATCAATTACATTTTCTAGTTAATACCATTTTTCTAAACAATTACATTTTCTAGCCAATGCCATTTTTCTAATCAATTACATTTTCTAGTCAATGCCATTTTTCTAATCAATGCCCTTTTCTAGTCAATGACATTTTTCTAATCAATTACATTTTCTAGTCAATGCCATGTTTAATGGCATATCTAGTCAATGACATTTTTCTAATCAATGCCATTTTCTAATCAATGCCATTTCTAATTAATGATATTTTCGTCAATGCCATTTTTAATCAATTACATTTCCTAATCAATGCCATTTTTAATGACATGTCTAGTCAATTCCATTTTTCTAATCAATGCCATTTTCTAGTCAATGCCATTTCTAATTAATGCCATTTTCTAGTCAATGCCATATTCTAATCAATTACATCTTCTAGTGAATGACATTTTTCTAGTCAATGACATTTTCTAGTCAATGCCATTTTTCTGATCAATGACATTTTCTAGTCAATGCCATTTTTAATGACCTGTCTAGTCAATGCCATTTTTCTAATCAATGCCATTTTCTAGTCAATGCCATTTTTAATCAATTGCACTTTCTAGTCTCAATTACTTCTAGTCAATGCCATTTTTCTAATCAATGCCATTTTTCTAATCAATGCCATTTTCCAGTCAATGCCATTTTTCTAATCAATACCATTTTCTAATGTGCCATTTTCTAATCAGTGCCATTTGTAATCAATTACACTTTTTAGTCAATACCATTTTTCTAATCAATTACATCTAGCCAATGCCATTATTCCAATCAATGACATTTTCTAATCAATGACATTTTTCTAATCAATGACCTTTTCTCGTCAATGCCATTTTTCTAATCAATGCTATTTTCTAGTCAATGACATTTCTAATTAATGACATTTTCCTCAATGCCATTTTTAATCAATTACATTTTCTAGTCAACGCCATGTTTAATGACATGTCTAGTCAATGCCATTTTTCTAATCAATGCCATTTTCTAGTCAATGCCATTTTTCTAATCAATTACATCTTCTAGTTACTGCCATTTTTCTAATCAATGACGTTTTCTAGTCAATGACATTTTTCTAATCAATGACATTTTCTAGTCAATGCCATTTTTAATTACCTGTCTAGTCAATGCCATTTTTCTAATCAATGCCATTTCTAATTAATGCCATTTTTGTCAATGCCATTTTCTAATCAATGACATTTTCTAGTCAATGCCATTTCTAATTAATGCCATTTTCGTCAATGCCATTTTTCTAATCAATGACATTTTCTAGTCAATGACATTTTTCTAATCAATGACATTTTCTAGTCAATGCCATTTCTAATTAATGACATTTTCCATTCAATGCCATTTTTCTAATAAATTACACTTTCTAGTCAATGACATTTTTCTAATCAATTACACTTTTGGAAGCTTGGCCTTCTTGTTCAAAGCCAACCAGGGTCCCTATCGGAGCGAGAAAGTTACTAGCTGACTAAGGCAGCGCATGGCTAGGATCCGATACAATCTGACATGGGTGTCACTCTCCATCTTATCACCCTGTGCCGCATTTTTTTTCTCTTAAAAGAGTTGGATAAACCAACATTCGTTGTGCATCTCGGCCTGGTTTTGGAAGCGTGGTTTCTTTTTTAATTTGTGTTAATTCAGATTTTAATGAAGGAGGAGGAAGACACGCAGCTTAAACGGCAGAGAAGGGTTTTTTTTAGGGGGTTCCAGGCTCAGGGACGGCACCCCCCCACTATGTGCCTCACACGCACGCACAAACACACCACAGCAGATTCCGACTGCACACACCTACCTCTTCCCTTGTCCTAGCAACCCCTCCTCGACCACCAAACGGGGGACCACCACTTCAATCCCACGCTGGCCTGGTTTCCCCAGGGCCAGGAAAGCATTATGAGGTCATTCTACTTCTCTGTGACCTCAGACCTTCAAACAGAAGGGCAAGAGTTGGAAGGGTCTGTGGAGGTCTTCTAGTCCAACCCGCTGCTCAAAGCAGGAGACCCTTCTTTCCTCCTCCAGATAGCAGTTGGAAGGGACCTTCAAGGTCTTCTAGTCTAACCCTCCCTCCCCCGCTCAAAGCAGGAGTCCCTACACCATGGGTCGGCAACCTTAAACACTCAAAGAGCCACAAAGGGGCCGAACCAGAAGCCCCCCTCCCCCCGTTCAATTCTGGAGCCGACCAGACTCTATGGTGGTCTAACCCCCAACCATAGAGTCTCCTCCTAGCGCGGCATCTTTTTTCCTCTACCTGTCCTTTCAATTGTGGAGCCGTCTGGCAACAGGGAGCCCCAGCAGAGGAGATGAAAGAGCCCCATGTGGCTCTAGAGCTGCAGGTTGCCGACTCCTTCCCTACACCATTCCTGACCAGTCCAATCTCTTCTCGGTTGGGAGCAGCCCAAAGTTCTGGTGGCAAGCTGTTCCAAAGGTTAATTGTTCTCAACTGTCCAGAAGTTTCGCGGTGAGGTTGCTTTCCTTGGTCGGCTGCTGGGGTGGTGGGGTTTAGTCGGAGACCCCCAGGGTTGCTCCCACTGCCCAGTGGTGGCTTTTGGCAGCTGGCAGAAAAGGGGCGATGCCCCCTTGCACGATGCTCAGTGCCCCCGCCTCCATTTTCTAGAACTGAACCCCAATTTGGTTGCAAATTCACCCCGGGACATGCCGGTGCCCCCCTGGCATGCTATATGGGGAAGGGGATGGGTCCCCCTGGCAGACCGTGGGATGCATTCACACAGGGAGAACTGAGGCTTCCGGGCAAGACCCCAACCACCACCACCCACCCCCATTTGTGTGTGCTTATGTGTCTGTGTGTGCCCGGTCGTCGCCTGGGCGGGGCACACATCCCTCGCCCCCCCTCCCTGTTGAAACCTGACCCTCCCTTCCCCTTCCCTCCGCCAGCAGTGGTTGTAAGCGGGACACTCTTTTCATGCTTGTGGGGGTCTTGCACAAATGAGACCCCGCCTCTACTTCTTCCCCCTCCTCCTCCACTTCCTCTGTTTCCCTTCTTCCTCCTCTTCCCCTTCATGTCCTCTTCTCCCTCCTTTCTCCTCTTCCCCTTCTCCTCTTCCTTCTTCTCTCTTCTCTTCCTTTTCCTTTCTCCTCTTCCTCTCCTCTCCCTTCTCTTCCTTTTCCTTTTGTCCTTTTCCTCTCTTTCCCCCCTCCTCTTCCCCACTCCTGGTCTTTCTCCTCATCTTTCTCCTCCTCTCTTCCCCTTCCTCTTCTACTTCTCTTCCTCTTCCTCATCTTCCTCCTCCTCTCTTCCCCTTCCTCTTCT